ATAAGTTATGGAATTTTATTTGCCAATTTGAGTGTATAATATAAGTGTCCATAGACTATATACTAAAATTTTTGGCTAGTCTTAAATTAGATTTATTTATAGCATGATGTATTATTTTATTGTTGATATAGTTTTGTGAGGTGGAGTCACAAGTCAACTTGACTCTTTATATGTTTGCAGTCATGGTAGGTGGGAGGCTGAGTGCATGTAAATGAGTATGAATGAGATTTTTTTTAAAAAAATAATAATAAAATTAGTTTTATTTTTTCTACTTTGAAAATATAATAAATATTAGTATTTATTTAAGCTCAATTGTATAGTAAATATGAGTGACCAATCATACTATTGTATTGTAATATTAAAATAAATAGCAATCCTACAAGTAAACACAATTAAACAAAGAAACTATAAAACGGTTAAAAACGGAAGAGTAACTACAATACAATAAATCTTCCATATTCTCGACCAACAACTGCCCGCAAGTAGACAACATCATCGAGATAGCAAACACAATATATGCACCTATACAGTACGTCTTAGCTTGCAAACTCACCAACGCTCATAAAAACATGGAAATAGTATCTAAACAACACAATTTCAGGCCAAAAATTACTATAGACCGAGATCTAAAATATACTTTAAAGAGATAAAAGTAACATATTGAATGGGCAATAAAATGAACATGAGGGATTCCAGCTGCCGCCCTCGGACACCACTAATAGGAATTGGTGTTCCGATACAATGGAGAGAGGGAGAGACAACATAAAAATGAATTTGATTTTTCAAAGATAAACGATTGAGGAGGATTCCAGGAAGAAAATGAATAATCGTGTCGTCTTAATCATTGTCACTCAAATAGTACACTTAAAAAAATGAAATTAATAATGGTTATAGATTAGAAGTCAATGCAATTCCTCACATTGAAATATACTAAATATTTAACTTTTATGTACACAATTTGTTTTGTTATTTTCTTTAAAGTGTATAGATCATTGATTGATCATATACTATACAACAAACTTGACGAATATTGAGAAATGGGCCAAACCTACAAAGCTGTAAGCCGTTTACCAAATTTATACCCAAGCCCAGAAACCAAAATCCAGCCCATTACAAGGTTACAACTGTCCCCCCACCCCACCAAAAACCCTACTTCATCTTTCTCATATTTGCCTCCATTTGTTCATTCACTTTCACTCTCTCACTCAATTCACACCCAAACCCTAGCCGCAGCCGCCAGCAATGCCGCCGAAGTTCGATCCCTCACAGGTCGTCGACGTCTTCGTCCGCGTCACCGGCGGAGAGGTCGGCGCTGCCAGCTCCCTCGCGCCGAAGATCGGCCCCCTCGGCCTCTCCCCGAAAAAAATCGGCGAGGACATCGCGAAGGAGACCGCCAAGGACTGGAAGGGCCTACGCGTCACCGTCAAGCTCACGGTTCAGAACCGCCAGGCCAAGGTCACCGTCGTCCCCTCCGCCGCCGCGCTGGTCATCAAGGCGCTCAAGGAGCCCGAGCGCGACCGGAAGAAGACCAAGAACATCAAGCACAATGGGAACATCTCCCTCGACGACGTCATCGAGATCGCGAAGGTAATGCGGCCGCGGTCCATGGCTAAGGATCTCGCCGGCACCGTGAAGGAGATTCTGGGCACGTGCGTGTCGGTCGGGTGCACGGTCGACGGGAAGGATCCCAAGGATTTGCAGCAGGAGATTGCTGATGGAGATGTTGAGATTCCGCAAGATTGAGCCTCTGGAGGTTAATTTCCGAATTTGCTATTTTATAGTGTTTTTTATTTATTGTCTTTTGAGTGAAACTGGTTTTGGAAGAGGAAACTTCTTGGATAATCTTATAGTCCTTTTCGTGTGCAAGGTTATGCATTTGAGGAAAGATGCTATCACTGGTTTTATTGCTGTTAAATTACAATGTAGTTTGGAGATTAATATCATTCAGTCCTTTTTTGAAGTCTCCCTTTTTGGCTTGCATTAAAAGTTCAATGTGGTTTGTATTTTAAAAGCATGCATTTAATGTGAGAATGGTAAGATTAAGTTTTATTTGGGTGAGCTGCACCTAAAGAAGTGTTTGCAAGCTCTCTATTGAAGTGATTCTCAGTCCTTATATTTTATTGTGTGGAAATAGTTTTATTTGTATGAGGAATTTGCTCCGAATAGCTTTCCACGAAACTATTCTTGCATGTTTGGTTGGATTTTACTTACCTCAAAATTTTTATACTTATGATGGGTTGGTGGTGTTGGAAATATTGCTAAGATAGTTCAATTATACATATGTATATTTGAAGACTACAAGTTTACATTTTTATATGGCATGTCATATTGTATCTCTACAGCTATTCGAAACTAACTGTTGGGCATTTTCCAAAATTTATGAATTGTTAGATTGCTACGTATTACTTAAATATTGAGTTGATGAACCATATGATCAAGCCAGCTTTTAGTACCCTTGTCCTATCTTTGTATAGCTGAAGTTGTACTTTAGTTTCAAACTATCAACAAAGTTTTAAAGTTAGCTTTGGGCTTAGGAGGTATTCACAGTTTTTGATTGCTCCATTTGTGTTGGCTTTTTGGTTATTCATTGATTGTTTGGTTCTTTACTTTCCTGTCCAATTGTTGACATTTTACAGTCATTTGGTTTTGGTTGTTATCACTTGATATAAGATTGGTGTTTTCTACGGAATTTAAATATGCTGAGAAAAAAAAAAATATATATTGTGTGCATTGATTCTTTACATTCGTTTGAACCTGAAGGGTCCATATGAAATCGTAGAACTGTAGAAGATCCTCAGTAGAGTAGCAAATGTAAAAATCATTTTGTGTGCATTGGTTCTTTACAATCATCTTGTGTGCATTGATTCTTTTCAATCACTTGATGGAAGAGTGGTAAATGTAAAATCGTAGAACCATATAAGACCCCCAGATATTACTGCTTATCAATGTTTAATTTTTGCACCTTTTACTTGGTGTTGATATTGTTCAAAGTAGTAAACTGTTAAGTAATCCGGTTGGTCGGGTTTTCAAAATGTGCTTGAGTTGGCTAATCATTTTGAAGCTCACTTTTTTTCATATCTAGCTTTCTTTAGTATAAAAATGAATATAAAAATGCCTTTTGGTGTAAGTGAGCCTGAGTGCCTGACCATGTTTCAACTTACAAGTGAAACCCCACTGTGGGTGTTATTTGTATAGCAAATTTTAACCTGAAGGATCCATTTTGATAAGTATGTCAATTCTTTTTACGCTTGTAAATAATGATGTAGTAATGTATGTATCATAATAATTTTATTTTCCTTAAATGTGTGTAATTAGTTTTTTTAATTTTTAATTTTTAATTACTGCAATCAATTAAAAAAGAAACAACAAAAGAATATACCAGCTATCAAAATTGTATGCCACTCAGTCCTCACACGTCAGAATTCCACTTTTTCTCTACTATGGAGTTGGTCACTAAGGGGGTGATTGTTTATCAATTCACCTCAAAAAAACCCAATCAAAACTCAAATTTAACTCAACTTTAACCCAACTCCACTTTTTCCAATATTATCAATATAATTAAATAATAACAACCAATCATTCAACCAACCATTCTTACACATCACATCAACTTTAATTCACTATTCATCTTCTCACATAATTTTAACTAACCACCACTTCCAATCATTTTTTTCTCACTTTTACATCATATCAACTTTAATTTTTTTATTTTAAATATTATTTAATATATCCACTAACAACTAACTATACCAACTTTTATCAAAAGTAACTATAGTTAAAAAAAACCAAATAATTTCTAGATGAATTTATAAACCAAATAATGATCCTAACTTTATGTATAAACGGAGAGTTTATCTCATTAAGTCGTTTTAGGTAGTTTTTCAAATAAGATTGTTTGAAATTTTTATTTAAACTACTTATCAACTTACCAAACACTTTTATTATATTAGCTAACAATTCAGAAAGGCTATTTTCGAATGGACTCCCCTTTAACTTTCTTCTTCGCTAAATAAAGGTTCGATATTAGATGTTAGATGTTAGGGAACTTTCTGATTCGTTGATAATATTAGTATGCAGTTTCGAAAAACTTACTAGGAAGTGCACTCATGTGACAAACAAGAAGCTATTATGTCATGAACTAAACATACTCCGTAAAATTTGTTCACGAAAATCTCAAATTGGTTTTGGAATCTTGTGAAACTCATACTTGAGATGTCCCCTCGAATCAATAGTGCCAGCAAGATCGTCTGCTTGCCATACATGTGCCAAAAAGCATACACCACAAATCATATCTATTTTTCAATAACAGGCCAAATCTTTCATTATCCCACCTAATTTCCTCCAATTGTACATATACCACACGTGATAGTTATGCCAAACCCTCTAGCAGCTGCATAAAATTATTAAATATAAAATTCAAAGGCATGTTTGCTTTGAGGGAAATGGAGGATGGGTATATTATTATTATTATTATTATTATTATTATTATTATTATTATTATTATTATTATTATGTTAAAAAAATCCCCTTGTTTGATTGATACTTTAGAAGTGAAGGGTAAGAGAATTTGGAAGATAAGTTGGAAATAATTTGTTAAATTCATTTTCTTTTGCACTTCTATACTTTCTCTACTTTTCTTTTCTTGTTCTACATTTTTCACTATTAAGATGTACTAATTTTTCTTCCAATGTTCCTTTATTTGGTAGAGCCAAACAGACCCTAACGTTTTTGTACGTCTATTTAAACTGCCCAAGTACCTCATTTCAACTCACACAAGCCATTGTTGATTGTTCCCTTTACTCCAAAAATAAAATTAATTTGATCTTTAATCACTTTTTATATCTCATTTTATTACAATATATTCCAAAGTCATTCACATCTTACACAAAGTTAATGGCAAAGGAAATCGTGAGAAGTCATCTCTCAGTGGAGGTTGTGCCGCTGCCTGTGACTGTCCGCATAAAATCTTCTCCTTCTCCTAAACTTGAAACAATAAAAGAAAACGAAGAAGAAGAAGAAGAAGATGATGAAGAAGAAGGGCGTGAAGGGAATTTCACAATTCTTGATCTCAATTTCAGCTGGCTTTGTGAAGCTTTCTCTCGTTTGCTGTTCCAAAAATTATCGGTTAAACAAATTGAAGGCACAACTATTTTCAGGGTTCACGTAATTAGAAGGTCACGTAAATAGAGTCACACGGTTCAATAAAAGACATACAATTTACAAATTTGGTCAATAAAATGCAAACTCGAATGTACTAATGTTGAATTTTATTTACTTTTGTTGGATAGTGCAATTTTAGCCAAGTAACTAGTTTTCAGTTTTGGAACTTCATTTCTCAAGAGCAATTTTTTCCTTAAAAAAAGAGGAATAATGAATGATGATGGAACAAAAAGCAATACTCCATAATCAGTCATATAGGGTGGGAATGAGTTAAAATTAAAATGACAATTTAATAAAAAAAAATTACGTGGTTGATTGAGAGTAGACGAGGATAATTATTTATGACACGTGTAACTAGAAATTAGGCAAGCTGGCGTTGGTCAGAGGTGATGTGGGTTCGGGTGATAAGAACCAAAATTCTCCATTTGTAACTAAACAAGGCCCACTTTGACAGTTATGGGCTGGACTTTACAGGCCCAAATTGAATGTAAAACAATAGTCTGGAGTGTTGCAACTTGTAAACATCATACCGATTCAACCGATTTGTCTACCTATTTTATCGATTTTAATAAATATTTAATTTTATTATTATGATATAAATGATACATAGAACCAAACTAAGATTGATTAAAATCTAAGAAGCATGCAAACATATTAGAAAATAAATTTAAAACTTTTATTTATGTTAAAAATGAAAAAATGTAAAAACTTAAAAATATTGTATTCTCTTATAATTTAGCTCATATTTTGGCCCGTATTTTCAAGTACGAAAGTGGTTTAAATTAATGCTTTCGATATATATAGTATTTAAAGGTTAATGTACTTGTCAGAAACTAATATCTGATATTACCAATCGATACAATATTTAAAACATTGAGTCTGTGAGACTTTGGGAGAAAATAACCTAAAAGAAAAAATAAAAAATAAAAAATAACCTGAGAAGTGGCCATCAAATGTGCGATACAATATTTAAAACATTGAGTCTATGAGACTTTGGGAGAAAAAAACCTAAAATAAAAAATAAAAAATAACCTGAGAAGTGACCATCAAATATGCTGAGTCTTTTTACGTTGAAGATATAAAAGTAATTCCAGGAAGAATTTTACTTGGTGTACGAAATTGTGATAGTTGATGCTCATAATTGCGGTAATTTTTGGTTAAAATGTTACCATAATGCACATTATAAAATGATTAAAATGTTAACATAATGTACCAATTTAAATGATGGATGTAGGCCAAGTTACTTACCAGTTACCAGTTTATAATTCAACAAACTATAGCATTTAATTAGGCCACCAAGAATTGACCCAGGAATTTAAGGTTTACTCACTGGGGCTTCTTTTAACTTTGTTACTCATGTGACCATGAGTAATTTTGCAAAGCACTCTTGGAAAAAATCTTGTGACCCTTTAATTTTGAGGTGCACTGTATATAACATGTGAAAATGATCATGAGAGGAGATTGGTAGTTTTGAACTTATTCAATATCACAAATTATAAATCCCATTTGCAAACTTATGTAATTGACTGAAATTATATTCAATATTATACACTCTACAATGTAATCACAAGCATGACTCTTCATAACACACATATATATTCTTTTCAAAAAATTATGACGGGTCGACCCACCTAACAGTTAGACCACCTCACACAACAATTTATGTATACTCTAAGATAAATGTGTACAACCCCTATCTAGATTAATTTTAAATATATACAGGGATAAACACAACCAAGATGGATATATATGATGTGAATCGATATCTATTTTGCATTAAAAATCTTTGATCGAAGTACATCAAACATAATCATCCTTTACCTCAATTGTATGCATTCATTTGAATCATTTTTAGTAGTGATACACTTTTGCTGATCCTTTAAGCAAAGCAAGATAATCATCCTTTACCTTATAATCCCTGTGAAATAATCAAATACGAAAAAAGAAGATGGCCAAATGGCCATCATAATAACATTCTAAGCCAGCAAAGAGATAAGCCAGTTATAAAATTGGCTTGGGAATTTAGCATAATTTTTTCGAGTGGTAATGAGCTTTTCGGGGCCATGACGGATTAAAAATCTCTAAAGTACAAAAATTAAACACCAATTATTACAGCGTCTTTATACAGAGAGCCAACGGAGCTAACTAAAACTTCAATTTAAATTTAAATTGACATGTTAATACTATATATATATATTAACATATATATATATATATATTAACATCTTAAAGTGTTGAAGATATGATTTACAAAAGAATTAGAAAATAACCAAAAAGGAAATTAAATAAGGCTCTCTTTTTCACAGTGAACATTGATTAATATAGGTGAAAGATCATGAGATTCACTCGAAATTAACATGCCATACACGAGGGGCACAATTTTATCATTTCATGACTTTTCCTCCCCTTTTTGCATCCAACTTAAATTAGTTTCCCAATTTGGAAAAAAAAAAAGAAAAAAAAAATCCCACTAGTCCCTAAATTAGTGTCTCGCCCACACACAAAATTCCAAATAAAAAATAAAAAAACACAATTGTAAAATTGTTTGGGGTAAGTAAAACTAAGTCCCTTATAAAAAAAATAAAAAAAATAAAATAAAAAAATAAAAAAGTAAACCTAAGTCCCAGGTCTTTAAATAATCCAAAACCAAAAATGCCATATATGATCTCTCTCTCTCTCTTATTTTTTTCCTTTCTAAAAAATTAAATAAAATAAAAGCAAGCACAACCACACCAACATAGAAAGTGTGACCACCATCATTTATTTCTATTTCAGCCATATATACAAACACGAGTTTCTTCTCTTTTCATCTACTGCATTTGTATTACAAAAGTAGAAACTAAATAAACTGAATATTCATTTACCAAATAAACTAACCAATGAAAAACTTATGATTAAAAAAAAAAATTTATCCCCCCATTCACAGCCTATAAAAACAGAAGCCCAAATCCAAACAGACACTCACACACACACACACACACACTACAAACTGAGCAAAATCTCTGAAGAGAATTAAAAAAAAAAATGTCATACCTTCTTATCATCTTCCTAACCATCTTCTCTTTTCTCCCCATTTCACGAGCCGAAACTCGTCAACACGGCCTCGAATTCGAGANATTTAATGCTATGGTTTGGTCACCTGTTATATATTCTCCGTTCGGCTAGGCTAGTAATGGTAAAAATTGGCGATTTACCATTACAAGATTCAATTGGGGGTTCAAAGGTGTAGTCTCGGTGATGAGAATGTTCTTTCTGTTAGTAATAGTTAGACTCTGTTTGGTAAGCATATAAGTTAGCTTATAACTTATTTGATTAGCTTATGAGTTTTCTGTATTCAAATAAAATTGGTTTGGTATGATGAGTTCTTTTTAAAAATCTCGAGTTTATCTCATAGCTTTTCAAATAAATTAAATCAATTGAAATTTTTATTTCGGCTAATTTATCAGCTAATTTTACCAAACACTTTTATCATAAGCTAGCTTTTCAGCCATAAATCATAAGTTATGCTCAAAATTTACTTAAAAACTATAAACTAGCTTATCAGTTAAGTTTACCAAACATAGTATTAGTGTTTGTTAAATTGATATGCTATTCGAATTGAGAGGTATCAAGCAGTATTAACATATGATTCGTGTGTGTTGCCGGGTTAGGTAGTGAAAATTTAAACACCAATGAAAAAAGAAAAACATCACCACAAACAAAACGCACATAAATGCAAGAAAAACAGGATTCAACTGCCAGACTGGCAGACAGAACAACCTGACAGTGGTAAAATCAGAATACTGCTTAAGAAACGAGACATGTTATGATGTTAAGCGATCAAAATGATGATGAACGCATGAAAGTCTACAAACAGCCTCGAAATGCAACAAAATAAAATTGCAACAAAACTTAAAAAGCGTTCCTGTTGAGAAGTAAAAACT